CATTATAATTTTCTCACTTACACAGGTGTGTGATAAAGTCAGATCAATTTTCTGTTGCTGCCCAACACTTGTAGGAATGACTAGACGGAGAGAACACAGACATTTTTTCATAACAGCAACACCAAAATTTAGGTTTTCAGACCAGCAATTCTTCCACTCAAGCCCTGTGTCTAATTTTTACCAAAGCCTTTTTTTACCCTCGAGGGGAATGGTTCCATATAAGTTTGACTAAGACTAGAGAGCTTTAGCAATAATGCAGATTGTATTCCCTAGGGAAAAGGGCATTTGAGGATGTCTTCCAAGCAAGGAATTTGGGCTTTGAAGATTAGATACTAACTCAGGGTGAAGCTCACCTTGTAATCCGTGGCATCCATTGACTTCTTAGAAAAAGAAAGGCTTTCCCTTGCATTTTTAGCACTCTCCCATGAAAGTTCATGCCCTCCCTTCTACTTGACTAATGAGTTAGGTTCTGCCTCTGATCCAATATCAAATTTTTATTTCTCATCCTCTTCCCAAACTCACTGATGTTTGGTGTAATAGCCCTTTATTTAGTTAGTACTTACAAAGCACAAATTAATATAATACATTTGGATCTAGAATATGTTGATTTTCATTAAATTAATCATACTTCAGTTACTATCAACTGGTCCATACTTCAGTAAGCCACGGTAGAGGCAAGATGATGCCACATAAATTACATGGACTTGGAATGATGTCTTAGAACAAATTGTGCTTCCGCCAAAGGAAAACCAAATTGGTAGTGTAATGTTCATCAGATGTACTTACTCAAGTTTTGCAACATTTCAGAATGTTCAAGAGAAACTGTTAAGGGATCATGGAAATGTTGCTATAAAGTGTATAATATTTTTATTAGAAAAATACCAAAGCTTTTACATCTTTTAAAGACAAGAGTTGTTTTTGTTTGTTTGTTTTCAATTCTACAAGCATTTACTAAGTCTATATGAGAAAAGTAAGGTGACATCCTTATCCTTGATTGGTCTCTATCCCATTTCATCCTTTCATCTTTCTTTATATGTAAGCTTACTGAGTAGGGAAGATTGTTATAAGCCAGCATTGGGTACCATAAAATTGACTCAGCATGCTGAAGGTTCTGGAATGTAAAGAATGATTGTGCTTGTAACTGCAGCCTTTGATGCTGGTTTGAAAGAAGCAATGTCAGAATAGTAAAGGTCACACAGACAGCCACTTCCCTCCAGGACTTTTAGGTTGATAAATCTGTACCTTCTGATACTATATACAAGGAAGGAAGAAATGACCTCAACTCGGCCGGAGATCACTGGCAGCATCCAAAAATTTGGCTGATCCCTAGTAACAAGTCCTTGGAATACAAATTTGAAGAAGAAGAAGGAGAAGAAGAAGAAGAAGGAGGAGGAAGAGGAGGAGGAGGAGGAGGAGGAAGAGGAAGAGAAAGAGGAAGAGAAAAAAGAAGAAGAAGAAGAAGAAGAAGAAGAAGAAGAAGAAGAAGAAGAAGAAGAAGAAGAAGAAGAAGAAGAAGAAGAAGAAGAAGAAG